TAGGACCCCATCTTATGACCATAAGCAACAAGAACAAGCCTATGTTACATATTTGATAATTTGAACACTGTAATTAACAAATAGCTATTTTACATTAAAATAGTACTCATAGACAGGACAAGCTACTTTTGCTTTCAAGAAATTCCCATTCTTTGGTTCTCCTAAAAAAACGATTTCTTGTAGTAGCTGACATGACAGTTTCACTGAAGCTGTAACTTGGACAGAAAACATCTAAGGTGTGTTTTCGGAATAAAAGCGGATCGGTTTGCGCAGTTCACTGGGTGCAATTGCTTAAATTTCATCAATCCGTCATTCATCCACTTCTGTGCGTTTGAAAGCTCGACCGCATTGGCCACCGTATGAATGGCAGGCATATGCACAAGTGTTGACGTTCTGGCTACATGTCAACACACACTGACTGAACGAAAGACTAAACATGGCTGCCTTTCATTAACGTGACATCATGAAGTGTTTCTTTTCCAATACGTACAGTACAGCGTGCAGATGGTTTCTTTCAGGTCCAGCTGCTTAAACGCTGTGCTCTCTACCGCGCCTCTCGCTTTGTTGGAAATGATAAACAAACCCCTACAAGGTGGCATTAAATGCATAAGAAAAAGAATCAACTGGTTTCTTGGAGCTCTTTCGATTTGAAGAGCTCTACGGTCGTAAAGTGCGAAGGCGACTGGGTCTAAAAACATCAGATGGGGTGATGCATTCACAGGAAGAGGAATAGTGGGTGGTGTTGGGTGATTTAGGGTTTTTAAGAGCTATGATCATACCCAACCCCCCTGCCGCCCGGTGGAGGACAACAGCTGGCGAGATCTGATGCCAATCCAGTCGAACAGGGTGTCTTTCTCTAGCAGCTATTCTACCCATGCCAGCAGCAGAATCAGGCTTTGTTGGAGCTCTGCATCGGATCTAATGACCCAGCACTAACTGCCATCAGCTGAGTTTGCCATTGAGACAGAGGACTGCATTCAAAGATGAAGCCGATTAGAAGAGTGTCTTTGTTTCTAGATGAGGTCAAAGCCATTGATACTGGATTTTGTAATCACTTCACGGTTTGTTGACTCAAAGGTCGCCTAATACTCTCAGACGATAACATTAAAACCCAATAGAAAAGAAGAATCACCAAAGAGATCTCTTTAATGCCTTAATTGTTTTGTCGAGACCACAATAAGGTTACATGGAGAGCAAATTGAGACGTTTGCTTAAGCCTCATGCTTAGATTTTTCTCCAAAGAAAAAGACCTACAGTTTCATAAGAAATATCAACAATGACACAGGTTGTGCTATAAATCAAAAGTCAAAGATCTCAGTGTGAACTCAAGCATTCTTTCATTACAGTTTTACATTCGATATTACAGTTCTTGCCAGTGCGGTGATAATTACTTGTATTGTTATTGCTGATACCTGATGAATTATTTTAAAGATTAAACTTTCAATCTACTATTTAGAAATGAAACACTGAAACATAAGATCAATGACAAAATGCATCTGTTTTTACAGATTACATTTAACTGTTATTAAATTTTCAGTTTTTAAAAATTTAGGTTTAAAGCTAAATGTAAAACACAAGATATCTGCTGAAATAAGTAATACCTGTATATCATATTTAAAAATATATATTTAATAATTATATATTGGCTAAAAACATTAAAGCTTAATGTAAAACACGATATATATGTTGAAATATCTAAATTAATAAATATCTAATATTTAAATTTAATATTTATATATTGGCTAGTAAATATTTAACTAAATATATAGTTATATAATAAAAATGCTTATATATAGTTAAATATTAAAACAAATCTTTTTTACAACATCATAAAATAATTTATATATATACAGGTGCATCTCAATAAATTAGAATGTCGTGGAAAAGTTCATTTATTT